GCTCTCAGCTCCTCAGTATTGAAATAACTCAAGTGTTTACAACAACGCCTAAGTATACACTGACATGCCAATTCTCAAAGGTGATATTGAGTACAGAAGTCCATCTCTTCCCTCCTTGATCACTATCATAACCGTTACCATAACCGTTATTGAGTTGCATTGAAAGTTAGTGAAGTATTTCTTGCATTGCGCGCACGTGGCTGTATCACGTGAATTGCTGTTTTTATGATATTTCTGGGCAGTTTTCAATGTAGGAATCGTTCATTAATGTTCACCTATAAGAGATGTCATAGGATAAGTAAGGGTCAGAAGAGATGAAACTACAAATATAAATAATCCTAAGTAAGAAGATGTAATTTCACTGATTTCTCTTCGATCTAAAATCTCATCACAGTTTTGTTTCTTTCGATACATGCATTCGTGTATAAACGATACTGATGTAAACGGTATTGACTAAAATTCATTTTGGAAGCCAAACAAGGGACAAGGCTCGCTTAGCTAAGAGGATTAGGGACACACACAAAACGTGTCAGTAAACGAAATTAAATTAAATCAAATTAGTGAGAACAAATTAAGAATCAAACACAACAATGGCAGAATTGCAAATCAGATCATGGGCTGTCCTTCCGGAAAAATACACCTTTGTAAGAACGTAAAAAACAATCAATATCACTGTTTACTTTTCTGACATTCCTGTCATTTTATTTCATTCCTTACACGTTTTGCGTTGCGCATCAGGTCGAGAGTTCAACTTATTTTTTCAGTTGTTTACGCTTCTGCGTTTTCCAGCGAAGTACGCAACTTGTATATCCGCACACCAGGTTAGTGAAATGGAATTTCTAACTATAGAAACATGTAAAACTGTGTGTTTTTTTTCGTATATGTGTCGCTTATACGTAGTCAATACCAACACCAAAAAAACATTCGCTCGTCGCGAGCGAGTGGGCGCGAGGGTAGAGGTAGAGTTTATCTGAGTTGTGGTACCTCTTGCTGAGCCGAGTGTCTTGAACTGGCTGAAACAACACACGCGCGCGATGTCTGTAGTTTTAGCTCGATATCTGTGAAAATGAAATCGAAATCTTTCACTCAGTTTTCCTTGAATCCTGAAGATGTGGCGGCTAACATTTTGTTTTCAAAATTGTAAATCAGTTAAATCGCCGCCAAGCTTATCATGACAAACAACACTATAGGACGCTTGCGTCGAGATTAGCGGTCAATTCTATACAGTGTAACTCTTGAAAGATGCGTGTATTCTAAGGACTCTTCAAAGAGATATTGTGGCTGCATTAGGGTGATTTAGAAATAAAGGGCAACTGATAGCTGAAGGAACTCCGTGCAGGCAGGGTTGAAGTTATAAGTGGGAATCGATCCGGGGGGAGAAGAATTAGGTAGGGGTGTGAGGCCCGTTTCCCAAAACCCTTACCCTATTATGACCAAAATCTGCGATATCAATAACGATGAAGAAGTAGCTTCTTCTAACAAACATACCTATATCAAGACTAGAGTGCAAAAATCAAACCCTATTTATGACCAAAATGGCTGAAAAACCATACCCTTTGGGGACGCACACACCTATATGGCCTATATAAAAGAGTACCTCCCCTCCGGGGGATCGTTATGGATAGTTGAAGTGCAGCCAGGTTGGGCGGAGGGACGGGTTTGACGGGGAGTTCAGCTCTACTCCCAGTCAGAGGTGAGGAATTATATCCAGATGAATAGAGAGAGAGAAAAAAATTAATTCAAAAAATATCCAACACCTTTCAGATCAAGTAATTTCCTTTCCAGCTGGTTTCAATGCACCGCCAGAATGTCACTCCTCTCTGATGTCCTCTCTCCCCTTCAGCTGGAGGCTAAATAGAATTCCAATCAATTGCGCATCTCTCTTGATCGTATCTTGTACTGTACAAAAACGTCTCAATTAGACGACACTCTGTCTGTGTTGATGCACTTTTCTTCACTTCATAACCTAGCGGAAGGTCGACGGAAAGTTTAATTATTTGAGCGCGCGTGATTTGAGCCTGCCAGTTCTGACAGCTGGTTACAGTGTAGGTACATTAAAAAACACACTGAGTTCTGGAAAACATATATGATTACAAAAGAACTCTAGAGTTTCCAATATTTGTTTTTCCATTTAACATCATATGATGAAGCTTAACCTTTTACGCGCACGTGAGTACTTTTTTTTTACCAAAGGGGAGCCATTCTCCAGAGAACGTTGAACGTCGCGTGATCTGAAATGGGCCGAATAAACACAGGAAGCTAAAGAGGTCAATAGCATGTTTTGAACGTGAAAATCCTTTTTGGGCGTCTCGAGATTCGAGACACTTAATGAATAATTGAGAGGAACTGACGGACTGAACGTTTTGTCGACCGAGTGCAGACAAGAGGGGTGCGGTCTTTGTCTGGTCACGCGATCTTTACAATCAGGA